CCTAGCAGTACCAGAGTCGACAGCTCCCTCGACAGGCTAGACAGGGTCTACCTGGGACACACCTGAGGGGGCAGGACCCTGAGGGGGGAGGGGGTCTACCGGAGGAGGACCTGGTGCAAGGAAGAGCGGTGGGGGGGGGAGAGGGGCAGTGCGGTAGGGGAAGAGACGGTTCTGCCGTGTCCGGCGGTCCCGTCTGGCTCACTGTCGGGTCTTCACCTCCCCTCGTTCTCTACAAACTTGGTGAGTGGAGCTGACCTCCAGGACGTGTGGGTTGACCAGTTCACTCCTGGTGGTCAGCGGGTGACCCACTGTACGTGTACGCGGATGGGCCGCCACCGCGCCACGTTCACCCGTCAGCCTGGGTCGAGCCTGTACACCCTGACTACCGTGTCTCCTCTGGTTGCTGAGTCTGGTCAGGTAGCCACGTCGGGTCAGGTGTTTGCTGCAGCGTCCCGGTCTGGTCCTGAGTCTGCCCCCTGCTCGTGTCGCCTCCTGTCTCACCAGACTCTCCTCTGGCACCACCGCCTTGGTCACCCCTCCCTGCCTCGTCTCCGAGGCATGGTCTCCCGTGTCCTTGTCACTGGTCTTCCCCGGTCTCTCCCTCCCCTTCCCCCGGGGCCTGCCCCTACCTGCGTTCCTTGCGTCGAGGGGCGGCAGCGCGCCGCTCCTCACTCCTCCGAGTTCCCTTCGATGGAGGCTCCCCTGCAGACGCTTCACATGGACGTGTGGGGCCCAGCCCGCGTCCGTGGACAGGGTCACGAGTGCTACTTTCTGCTGGTCATTGACGACTACTCGCGTTACACCACAGTCTTCCCCTTGCGCCGCAAGGGTGAGGTCACTGAGGTGCTGATCGACTGGATCCGCGCTGCCCGTCGTCAGCTCAGCGAGAGTTTTGGCTCGGACCTTCCTGTTCTGCGTCTGCACTCCGACAGAGGTGGAAAGTTTTCCTCCGACCTTCTGCGAGCCTTCTGTCATGCAGAGGGCATCCGCCAGACGTTCACGCTTCCGGCCTCTCTGCAGCAAAATGGGATTGCTGAGCGCCGCATTGGCATGGTCATGGATGTCGCTCGTACGTCCATGATCCATGCGGCTGCTCCCCATTTTCTGTGACCGTTCGCGGTTCAGTACGCGGCGCATCAGCTCAACCTCCAGCCCTGGGTCTCCATGCCGTAGACCACACCTGCTTTGCGGTGGACGGGGAAGGTTGGCGATGCGTCTGTGTTCCGTGTCTGGGGATCTCGAGCTTTTGTCCGCGATTCTTCCGCGGTGGGTCCTAAAAAAAACGTTTCCACTAGGGAACCTGCTCTGAAACCATGTCAGAATCAGGAGTGAGAAATGACTAGAAACACAGCAAAACAAGGTTTGTATATGCAAAACCTAATTGGGCTGTACCCCTTAGGGAGTGCCCCACTACAGCCTATAATATAGTTCTGACATTCCTGGCATCACAACAATTTGGAGTGGGGTTGACGAGTGGCACAGAGGTCGTAGTTAGAGGCGTCTGTTGCACACTGGCTGACCACCCGGATAGGGTGGTTCTGCAGTTGGATGTGGCAAACTTCATTTAATTAATTTCACAGAGACACCGTGTTCCAGGCTTTGCAGGCTAACCCTGAGTTTCAGTGCCTTATCCCCTTCATTTGCATCTTCTAGGGGACGCCTTCGGACCTCCAGTACAAGAGGGGAGTGGTTACCATGCACTCGGAGCGCAGCACTCGTCAAGGATCCCTCTCAGCCCCTTCTTGTACACCTTGACATAGCGATTGGCCCTGGAGTCAATTTTGGTGGAGGGCGATGTCCAGCTCTGATCGTACGTCGATGACACGTACATGCTAGGCCTCCAGGCAGGGCGCTACACAATTTCTCCAAGATCGTGGGGTGCGTGGGCGAGATGGGCCTCGCGGTCCAGTCACACAAGTGTCCTATCTACCAGACGGAGTTCATTCTGCCCAGGGATGTGGAGGCTTTCACGAGCCTGGGGATCGAGGCCATACGCCGATGATTCACTGTGACAGGCGTGCCAGTCGGCACCGATGAGTTTGTGGAGCGCACCCACCCTGATCGTCTCGAGAAGATGGGGCGGGTGCTACATTGATTTTCGAGGTTGCACCAACCCCAGACAGTTGCTCGTCTTCTTTTTGCATGTGTCAGCACATGCCCACATAGTGAGATCCGCAAAATCCACGACTTGTAGATGCCCACACCTGCCCCGCTGTGTGCGAGGCAAAGGTACATGGCACAAATCACAGGGTTCTTTGAGAGCGTCGCAAACATGCAAGATATGTATGATGCGTATGTGTAGGAGGTTTAAGTGGCCGTGCTTGAAACGTTGTGCTTGTGCGGGTTGTTGCTCTGTTTGGTCCTTACGTGCTCCTTTTTTTTAGGCTCTTTTTCTTTCTTCTCTCCTCTTTTCACTTTCTTCTTACCCTTGTCGTCCATCCTTCTCTTCTCGTTGTAACAATATCTCTCATTTCCCTAGTACCCTTTTTTACTAGTTGTTAACTTCTTTTTATTCCGCTCTTCCCCTCCATCTCTTGTAAAATTTACCATGTCAGTACAAATATGTGCATTATAGATTCATATATATATGTATACTTCTCCTTTAATAAAAAGTTTTATATACAGAGAAAGAAATTTATATGCACCCATAATGATATTTGTGAATTGTTAATTTGTTTTGTTTTAACTGGCTGGCTGGGCAGTTACCCACACGCATTCGTCCTTCTCTCACTTCATCGACTCTTATCGCACTTAGGAAATCGAATGGCGACGCCCGTCCGATTGCTATATGCGAAGTCCTCGTATGCCTTTTCTCTCGTTGCATCTTGCTTTTGTTCAAACCTCAGATGCAGTCACAGTTTTTGCCCGACCTGCAGCTAGGAGTAGGAACACTGGCTGGAATCAACGCGCTTATCTTTGGCATCCGTTCCGCGTTAGAGCTCCACCCTGATTGGGCAGTGCTTAACATCGATGTAGCTAATGCGTTCAATTCATTTCACCGCTCCGCTCTCTTTGAGGCATTGCATGCGTCGGACTTCTCCTCTCTCATCCCTTTCTTTCGCATATTCTACGCTACATCTTCACCGCTCCTCTTCCACTCTAGACCGCTCCTACGGCACCTGATGTCCGAACGTGGGGTGCGCCAAGAGGATCCATGCGGACCCTTCTTGTATGCAATCACGCAGCAACTAGCCATTCGACCTCTTCGTGCTACATACCCCGACGTTCTTTGCATGTCTTATGCTGACGACTCTTACGTTCTCAGACCTCCCCACCGCCTAGTTGCAGCATTTACCACCTTGCAGCAGAATTTCAGCGCCCTATGCCTCACGGTTCAGCAAGCTAAGTGCCAAGCTTGGGCCCCACAGGGCTGGCCAGAGACGCCCCAGCTCCCTCCCGGCATCACCGTGCAGAAAAGCGGCATGGCGGTTGCACGAGTTCCGATAGGAGAGCGAGATTACGTTACCAAACAAGTTAAGCAATACCTCGCTTCCCTCCGGGCTGTAGCACCCTGGCTTCCTCGCCTAGAGAACCCGCAGATAGCAGCCCACTTGCTTGTAATCTGTGTTTCAGCAAAACCCTCCTATCTCTTACGCACAGTTCCGCCCACGGACGACGTTCTCAAACTATACAGTGACTGGGATGACCAGCTCCTTGACACCCTCATCTCCCTTTTCCCACCTGACTTATGCGACCTAGATACCGCAGAAGGCAGCTCACACGGCAACATGCATTCCCTCCAAACCGCATGGGAGGTTTTGGTTTGCGGAGTGCAAAACAATACGCGCCTCTTAGTTACGTTTGCAGCTGGGCACAAGCCATACCAGTCCTTGCATCGAACTGCAAGGTTGATGGAGACAATTTCCTTTGCCCATTCATCGCATCCAACAGCCTAGAACGCATAGACTCGCAGGCACCCCGCGCTCTCGCTTCCCTCCCGGATGCTTTGCGGCACCTAGTTCCACCATGGTCTGCCTTCCTTGCGGGCTACCCTCATCGTCACTTCTCAGCTCTGGCATAGCGTATCTCAGAGCGAGCAGCGGAACAGCTATGTGCAGCAACAAAACAGTGCCACCAATTAGTCCGTTTGTCCTCCCTTCAGGACCCACCAGTCGGCGCATGGCTTACTGCAGTGCCCTCCACACCACGCTCACAACTCAATGCATCAGATTGGCTCATAGCAGCGGAACTACGAATAGGCCTGCCCATTCCCCACCTCCGTCTTCTCGAATCTGCACCACCATGCTCCTGTGGGCGCCACTACACTGACCCTACCCTCCCTAGCCATGCCCTTCGCTGCCCCGACCTCCATGAGCCTACACATGTTCACGACGCAGTAAAGCATGAGGTCGCCATGATAGCACGCGAGGTTGGGTTCACTGTTCGTGTCGAGGACCCTACCTTGCTGCCAGATCACATGGTGGATATCAGTTGCCTTAATCCTTGTGCAGGAATCAAGTGGGCTCTGGATATTTCAGTCATTGACCCGCAACAGCAGAGGGCACCAGCTATGGCGACTCACACGGTCGGGATTTCAGCAAAGCAGAGGAAATCAGAGAAGCTGCATGCATACGCCCACGCTCTTCACGATCGACCTGCAGTCAAGCTCGTGCCTTTGACCTTGGAGACATTTGGGTGCCTCGGCCCGGCCTTCAAGACGTTCCTGCGTGATTGTAGCCGACGTGCAGCAGCTCGCCGTGTGGATCGTGGTGCAGCAGATGCGGTACTTTCAGGGGCATACGAGACTTCATTTCTTCTACGCATTTCGATGGCGCTGCAGAGTGCTCAAGCGAGATCGGTTCGTCACAGGGTAGAAGGAGCTTTCCCATCCTAACCAGGTTAGAAGGTTAGATACCTGGGCGGAGCCATCCTAAGGTCGTGAGTTCGATCCTCACTGGGGGCATGGATTTTGTTTTCACTTATGGGGAAGTTGCAGTTTGTGGATCTATCCTAAATGGATTGGGGGATTTTTTTCTCCGGCTTTGTTGGGGTAATCTGGATTACAAGACCATCCTCCCCCCGTTTCTTCCCCCCCTTTCTCCCCCCCCTTCCTCCCCCCCCCTTCCTCCCCCCCCTTCCTCCCCCCCCCCTTCCTCCCCCCCCTTCCTCCCCCCCCCCTTCCTTTCCCCCCCCTCTTCCTCCCCCCCCCTTCCTCCCCCTCCCTTCCTCTCCCCCCCTTCCTCCCCCTCCCTTCCTCCCCCCCCTTCCTCCCCCCCCCTTCCTCCCCCCCCTTCCTCCCCCTCCCTTCCTCCCCCCCTTCCTCCCCCCCTTTTCTCCCCCTCCAATCTCCAACATAACCCCCCCTCGGCATTTTTGTGGGGGAATATGGCACATTGACTGCAGATTCAACCGACCCTATCGTTGGCAACACAGCTACTTTTTTTTGCCACATCAATGTTTTCCCTGGCTGGAAAGGTTTATGGTAAATCTAACCTTTTAAGTGTGGCAGTCACTCAAGACTCGGTGAAGGCTAATGGTGTAAGTATAGACGACATTCCATTTCAACTACCGTACTACTACCATGACTGTTTGTTGTGCCCTTACACCGTCTTCTACCCTATTCTGTCATGCTTGCTCTGAGGTCAGCCAACAACATGAGACAAAGACAGTGCTTTGCCCCGAAAGTGGTTGATAATGCTCGAGGCTCCTTGACAGGAAGCAACAGTGGTAGGATGCGCAGCCGCAAGTGGAAAGGCATCGGGTAGGACTTGGGACTTGGAAAGGTGAGTGAGTGATTTTTGGTCCACGAAGGAATGACCAACTCAGAAGTACAGCTCATTGGCACACACATGTCATGTATTTGTGGCACTCTTGATCCATTCCTGATTAATGCTAGTATATAGTCCCATATTGGCCAAGTGTCATTATCCTTAGTGTTGCCATTCTGTTCCAAGAGTGGTATCTTCAGTCTTTCTCACCAACATTACTACCAGCCTCGTCATCACCATCACAAGCATCAGCAGCAACATCGGGCTTTTCTTCTCCAGCAGCAGCAGGCGTGGCCTCCCCAGCAGCATTGGCAGCACCGGGTTTGGCTTCCTCCTGGGGGAGGCACAACTGGCGCAGGTTGTACTTGGCAAGGGCCTTGAAATCGGTGAGGATGGAGATGAAACAGACGGTCCGGGGGAGAGAGCAGGAGGGAGAGAAGGGGGTGGAGGTGAGGGTGTGGGAAGAGTAATATACTGGTAACGTAAACATTGTGTACCTGGGAAACAGATTCTCTGGGGGAGAGGGACGGAGGGAGAGAGTTTGGGGAGGAGGGGAGAGGAATGGGAGGGGGGGTAAATGATGTGATGTGTACTTGGCGAGGGCCTTGAAGTCGGCAAAGATAGAGATGAAACAGGTTGTCTAGAGGAGAGGGCGGAGGGAGAGAGTTAGAGGGGGAGAGGGTGGGAAAAGTAGTATGGAGAGATGAAACGGATGGTCTGGAGGGGAGAGGAGGGAGGGAGCGAAGGGGGTGGGGGTGGGACGGAGAAAAGTAGCATGGGGTAAATGAGTAACTTCGCAAGGGCCTTGAAGTATGTGAGGATGGATATGAAACAGATGGTCTGGGAGAGAGGGAGGGAGTGAGGAGTGGTTGGGGGGGCTATTAAGAGAATGAGTTGATTGAGAAAGAGGGCAGTGGAGCATGGAAGAGTAAGGGAGAGAAAACATGAGGAGGATACAAGGGACCGGAGGAGGGTGCATGAGACTGGAAAAGGTGGGTGGAGAAGCTAGGAGTGAAACGGAGACTTGGAAAAAATTGGCTTCGCCCGGACTTGAACTGGAGACCTTCAGTGTGTCAGACTAACGTGATAACCAACTACACCACGAAACCATGTTCAAGTTGAAATAGAAAACTAATACACCGTGTAGAAACCCTAAACAGAATAGACAAACAAACGCACATGTTTGACTGAATCTACTGCGTTACTAGACTGCACAGATCCATAATACGGGGTACAAGCACCTTATTGGCATACCATGATGATGAATGCACAGCCTGGTGCATGCATGTCGTACCTTGACTGCTTGCAGCATCATGGTGTTGTACGCATTGTTGAGACCCACTATGTGGGGTACATGCCACAGCTTGGCACAACATGGTTCATGAACACACAACATTATGCACGTACGTATGCATGTCGTACCATCATCATTTCCAACATGCGGTACATGACCCTCGAAATGGGGTACATGCGACAGCTTGGCATACCATGGTTCATGAACACACAGCATGGTGCATGCATGCATGAATGCATGTCATACTTTCACCATTTCCAGCTTGATGGCCGTGTCTGGATTGTGAAGATCCACTATATGGGATACATGCCCCAGCTTGGCATACCATGGTTAATGAGCATACACCATGCAATTGGGCAGACGTGCATGTCATACCTTCACCGCTTGCAGCATGACAGCCTTGTCTGGGTTGTGAAGATCCACTTCATGCGGAGCTTGGCTACAGAGTCAATAACTCACAAGAATACGCACGCATTCCATACCTTCACCACTTGCAGCATGAGGGTCTTGTCTGGGTTGTGAAGATCCACTCGATGAGGAGTAGGCACAAGCTTGGCATACCATGGTTAATGAACACACACCATGGAGCATACATGCATGTCATACCTTCACCACTTGCAGCATGATGGTTTTGTCTGGGTTCCAGAGATCCACTTTATGCGGTGCAGGCACGCCTGCTCTCTCAAGCCCTTCGTTGGCTCGCTTCTCAAAGATAATCCCGAACTGTACAGGGAAGATAGACATGTGATGGGATGCAGGTTGACCCTAAAAAGAGGATGAAAACTGAAGCGTGAAAGGGCGAATTAAGGACTTCGTTGACTTGCTTATAGAAGATGGTAGCAAAGTGTACAGTGGAGGAGGAGCATTTCATGAGATGCACGAGGAGCCTACAAAAAGGGATGCAAACTGAAGCGTCCTGGTCTCATGTCCCTGCCTACCATCATCATGAACCTTACTTACACACCCTGCACCTCATACTCACCGCCCTGCACCTCATATCCACCGGCCTGCACCTCATACCCGCCGCCCTGCACCTCATATCCACCGCCCTGCACCTCATACCCACCGCCCTGCACCTCATACCCACCGCCCTGCCCCTCATACCCACCGCCCTGCACCTCATACCCACCGCCCTGCACCTCATACCCACCGCCCTGCTTCTTCTTGAGTTCCGTGCCGCCCCTTTATTCGCCAGCAGGCCATTAGTGGACGACCCCCATCAGGGGGAGACAGCACCATCAGGGGAGACAGCACCATCAGGGGAGACAGCACCATCAGGGGAGACAGCACCATCAGGGGAGACAGCACCATCAGGGGAGACAGCACCATCAGGGGAGACAGCACCATCAGGGGTGACAGCACCATCAGGGGAGACAGCACCATCAGGGGTGACAGCACCATCAGGGGTGACAGCACCATGAGCTCAGTTGGATACTCAGCTTGTTGACCTCACTAGCCAAATTCCCCAGTCCTTCCTTGCCTCCCCCTATCCTTCCGCCTTGCTAGCCAGCAGCTTGTCGCACCACAGCGTGTGGGGCGAACAGGGGAGAAAGCACCATCACCTCAGTCAGATGAGCAGCTTGCTGACCTCACCAGTGTAACGAGGTGACTTTTAAGTCTACTCAAAAGTCATTTCAGGAGAACTGGGGGGAAAGCAATATCAGCTCAGTTGGATAAGCATCTTTCTATTCTCACTAGCCACCTTCCCCAGTGCTTGCCTCCCTCTCCCCCTCTCCTTCCACAGTCATGACCACACCACAGTCATGACCACAGTGTTAAACAGTTTATATAAACAGTTCTTCTGGTTAAGAATGCAGATACATCCCCCTTTTCCCTCTAACTTGATACACTGGTAGGAAAGGTTGCCTGTGATCCCTCGATTTTAAACCAGTCTAGTACATATGCACAATAATTCATGTTCTATCATTCGCCTGTGCGCCTCACCTCACCTCCTGTGCGCCCCACCTCACCTATTGTGCGCCTCACCTCACCTCCTGTGCGCCCCACCTCACCTCCTGTGCGCCCCACCTCACCTCCTGTGCGCCCCACCTCACCTCCTGTGCGCCTCACCTCACCTCCTGTGCGCCTCACCTCACCTCCTGTGCGCCCCACCTCACCTATTGTGCGCCTCACCTCACCTCCTGTGCGCCCCACCTCACCTCCTGTGCGCCCCACCTCACCTCCTGTGCGCCTCACCTCACCTCCTGTGCGCCCCACCTCACCTCCTGTGCGCCTCACCTCACCTCCTGTGCGCCCCACCTCACCTCCTGTGCGCCCCACCTCACCTCCTGTGCGCCTCGCCTCATCGAGCACGTTGACAATCTCCCGCCCGCACTCTCTCTCCCTGCCAGTCACACTCGACACCAGCCACCCCCTGCTGCCATTCGCTATGGGGCCAGCTCCCCCCCCGCTCTGAGGGGACCAGGAGGTAGGAGCAGAAGGGGGGAGGAGCAGAAGAGGAGGGAGCAGATGGGAGAGGAGGAGCAGCAGGGGGGGGGGGCAGAAGGTGGGGGAGGAGCAGCAGGGGGGGGAGCATAAGGGGGAGGAAAAGCAGTATGGGGGGGAACAGAAGCGGGAGGAGGAGAGGGGCAGTCGTGGGAAGAGCGAATGGGGAGGAGCAGAAGGGAGAAACAACTTTCAATTCACTCACCTGCACTCCGTCGTTCAACCAGTCTCCCTGCTTCCATTCACTATGGCTGCCGCTCGCCCCCCGGCTCTGGTTCAACAGGGTGGGCACATGAAGTGTGTATTTTTGAGACGTCTCAAAAACACTCTCCCTGCTGCCATTCACTATGGCTGCCGCTCGCCCCCCGGCGCTGGGTCAACAGGGCCGGCAAGTGAGGAGGAACTTTTGAGACGTCCCAAAAGTCGTCGTTCAACCAGTCTCCCTGCTGCCATTCACTATGGCTGCCGCTCGCCCCCCGGCGCTGGGTCAACAGGGCCGGCACGTGAGGAGGAAAGGAGCAGAAGGAAGAAACGCATCTTCAATTCACCTGCACTGCACCCCCTCTATCTGCTGCCATTCGCTATGCCCCCCCCTCGCCCCCCGGGGCTGTGTAAACAGGGCTCTGAGCCAGCTGGCTCTCTAAGAAACACACTTAACCAGGCACTCCTTTCCCTCACCTGTCCGTTACTGACACGTCATGCTCGCCCCCCGTCTCTGGGTGAAAAGGGCGGGCACGCGAGGAGGAGCAGAACGGGGAGGAGGAAAGGGAGAAACCATTTTATTTTACTCACCTACACTCCCCCTCCCTCCCTGCCTGCTGCTGCCTGCTGCCACTAGGGAGAGCGAAAAAACAACAAAAAGTTACGGGTTTTGGGTGCATCAGAAATGGAGATAAGCGGGAGAGGCTGCTGGAGAAAAGAGAGGGAGAACTGGGAGGCGGCGCGGGGAACACACGACGGCACGAGGAGGCGAGAGTGAGGGAGGGCAGACGGAGGTGTGCGTGGGAAGGTGGGGAGAGGGGGGGGAGGGGAAAGGGGGGAAGGGGAAGGGGGAACATGGGTCGGATCAGACTCGTGCGCGCACGCCGCCGAGCTCATAGCAGCGACGCGGAACGGATGCTGCCATGGCTCGCGCCTGCTACGCGAATGACGTGCTTGAGACGCGCCTGACACGCGACTGACACGCGCCTGCAGAATTGTCGCTGATTAACGTCGTTATTCGTCTCTCAGCCAAGAAATACATTGTTACACGCCTGCCGGTTTATGTTGACTAATGCGTCGCGACATAAGTCTAAAGGCTCACAGCGTTCAAATATCGCGACTTGTGCCGCTTCGATTTCCCCCGACCTCCATTACCGCTCCGATTGCCCTCCGCCTCGCGCTTTCCGCGACCCATGTGCGATTGTATGGCCGTGGCTACCGATCAAACGAGGCAAACGCTCAATGGCTGGTTTGCGCAACATTTATGTGTTACAATAAACCAAGCATCCTCAGGACCAGTAGCACAAACCTCCAATCTCTCAGCCTGATTAGCGGGTTCATTACCCGCCTGGTCCTTTTGTTTTATCCACCTCAAGGCTCCGCTTTTAATTCATATCTTATCTAAAGATGTTTTCTTACTACTCTGGGGCATTCTTCTTTCATATCATACTCGTCGTCGGATCCCTTTTTGTTGTAAGCCTCAACCATCTTGACTGGTTTTTTTCGGACGTGCTTGTCGTCTACACCTTCGTTGTGTTGCTTCGTTGGTGTAGGAGATTTTTCTTTACTGCGTTTCGCTGCGTGTCGAACAATTCCGACTTTCAAACAGAAAGGTTCGGACCTATGCCATCTATCCAGCAGCTATATTGCGTCAAACCGAAGCCTGTGCCTCGACCTGCAGCTGGTTCCCAGTGCCGCTGCCTCGTTCGTAGTGCTGCTGCCTGACCTAGTTTCGGTCATGTCGACTGTTACTGTGCTCGCGTTTGACGCAGAGAGGCGCCGTATCGAGTTAAAATCTTGGCTAGAGATCCAGCACCTGTACTTGCAGAGTGTCACCAAAGGCGATGTCTCATTGTTTGAGCACACGTGGCCCCTAAGACTCCGGTTGAGCCTGCCGCTATCGCTGTGAGGGATGCGCAGAAGCGGTGTCGGGCTGACCGCATTGTCTACACAGCATTGCCCACCTCTCATCTCCTTTTTTTAGGGGTGCGTTCCCCCCCTTCTCGCGTCCAATGTTGCCTCTACATCTACTGTTGACTTCCTCGGTGCTGAGGAGGTCGGTGATGCGTCCGCTCTTAGCGGGAGGCACGGCAACTAGGGTGGGCGTAGGAAGGGTGGGGGTGGTGAGGAGGCGGTGGCGGTGGGGGGGATAAGGATGGTGGGAGTAGCGGGGGTGGCGGGGGTGGTGGAGGGGGTGGGGGTGGTGGTCGCGGTGGAGCTGGCGAGGGTGGCAGGGGTGGAGCAGCGGGTGGAGGTGGTGGTTCTGGGGGTGGGCAGCAAAAGTAGCAGCAACAGCCACGTCAGCAGGAGAATGAGTGAGTGGGTTGCTCGGCGAGGCTTCACCGGTAGTGGTGGTCCTGCCACTGGTCCTTGCCCGTACGTGCGTTGCACTGGCCCTCGGGCCGACGATGCCTGCGGCAAGATGGGGCACGGTGAGGCTCGCTGTTTCTGCCGCCTCAAGGACGCCTTTCGTGGTGAGTTCGGTGAGCTCGCCAAGGTCCCTAACTGGTTACGATCGCTCAAGAGGGGCGTTCATGTATTTTTTTCTTGATTGGGACAAGATTTCTGTAGGCATGCACGCCATGTATGCTGCTGGTGCTAGTGTTGAGGGTGACTATTATTCCTGTATGCCTAAGTTAGCTTATGTAGAGGCTGCGAGTGTAGGTGCTTGTGAGATTGCTAGCATCGATGCAGTTCCTACGGAGGCGTCGCTCTCGTTCACACTGGACTCCGGTACGATTCATTGCTTCTTCCGCGACAGCACCACAGTCACACCACTCTCGGCTCTTGTCCCTGTCACCCTGGCCGACCCCATCTCCGGTCCCATCGTTGCTCGCGGCTCCACAGTCCTCCCATGTCTGGCAGTTCCCTCTGGCTCCCTCACAAGCCTGCACCTCCCCTCGTTCTCTACGAACTTGGTGAATGCCGGCCACCTCCAGGATCTTTTCGTCACCACCATGATTCCTGGAGCGAGCAAGTTGCAATCTGTACGGACACAGCGAATGAAGCTTACTAAGCCACGTTCATACGGAGGCGTTGGTCTGGACTGTTCACACTGCACACTGAGTCAGGTGGTTGCGTCAGGTCAGGTAGCGGCGTCTTGCTCGTGTTAATTCACTCCTCTGGCACCACCGTCCTGGTCACCCCTCCCTTCAGCGTCTCCGTCGTATGCACTTGCGTCGCCTTGTCTCTGACCTCCCGCAGTCACTGCCCCCGCTCTCGCGTCGCTTGCACCCCCGTGCACTCCCTGCGTTAAGGGGCGGCAGCGCGCCGCTCCTCAATCCTCCTCGTTTCTTCCGACCACTGCTCCTTTGCAGACGCTGCACATGGACGTGTGGGTCCACGCCCCCATCCTTGGGCCGTGCCGGGAGCGCTACTTTCTGCTGGTCTTCGACGACTTCACGCGCTACACCACGGTGTTTCCCTTGGAGCATAGGGGCGTATTCCTGGCTTCGGGTCATCCGGGCTTTGGGCTGTCCGAAAATGTGGGAGGACACGAGCTGAAATATTTCGGCTCGTGTCAACGACCACAATGCCGGCACGATTTTAAGGGTTCGGCCAGACGAAAGTAATCACATGTTGTCACATGTAAACAGACGTTGATTGGTTTAGGAAATGTCTTGATTGACAACGGGCGATTCTTTCACCCGCCATCGCAAACGGCCCCGCGACCCCAACATTGACAATCAGCTGTCAATGTCAGATGGTGCATTTGGCATCACAACCACTCATTAGAAATACTGCACCCTTTGAATTCACTCACAACCGATTCACAACCACTCATAGGAAATCAGTAGAGGGTCGAATTTCCCTCCCAGCCACCAGTTCGAAATCATCGCGCCAATCCTTCGATCTTCACCATGGCGGATCTGAGCGAGTTTGGTGGGGAAACTCTAGATCGTAGCCACACCATTACTTCGCGTTTCACCATGTCGATATGAGCGCATTTGGCGTGGGAATTCTATATCGTAGACACACCACGACTTCGATTTTCCCTTACAATGCAGCTCTTCCAGTGCGCGTCAGGAGTATAATACAACAATCTAGAGCGTCAATGCACCAGGCTAACGCCTAACTCCCACGCTCTTAGCTCCTTCTTTCAACGTATTCCTAGCCTTCTCCGACATGGCTCCTAAACGCAAGTACAATAAGGCGTCGAAGAAGGCAGCCGACCCCGAACCCGAGGTCCCTATGCAGGACCCCCCCAACGTCGTTTGGATGAGGCGTCGGCAGGCGCTCGGCAGCTGTCGTGCTCGCATTCGGAACGAGATTCAGGAGACCCGTGGCGACGAGCCTTTTGGGGATTCCGACAACAAAACTTACGAGGAACCTGATACTGAAGGCTTGGCGAGCTCCGAGTCTGAGCCTGAGGAGTTCTACGCGTACGAGAGCAGCGATAGTGACTCTGATTCTGACGCCTCGATAGATTCTCCCAACAGCGACAAGGATCTCGTCCCTGACGCCACCGAGCTCGACGCGGAGAGCCTTGCCGGGAGCTTGGTGGGAGCTTGGCGAATGTCAACAAAAAGCAGAAGGGGAAGGCCGTGAAGCCCAAGAGGAAGCGTAAGGTGTGGATCAAGGACGAAATGACCGAGTTGGCCGCGGCCCGATGGTTCACGCGCGAGGATTTGAAGTCGATGCAAGGCAAGCAAGGACCGCAGTAATGGAAGAAGCTCCGTAGGCATCTCCATAAGGCGAATCCTAACTAGACACGCAAGTCGGAGGCCATGAAGCAGTAGTAGAAGCAGCTGGAGAGGGAGTACAAAGAAATATGCAAGGCGTTGGCAATGTCGGGTGGCAGAAACATCACCCCTCCCGGATGGTTCGCTTACATGGAAGAAATCCGAGCGGGAACCGCTGCAGTGAATCTGCACGTGGTCGACGGTGGAGGCGCGGGCGAGCACCACGCTGATCCTCTGACAAACCCTGTGCCCCTCGCCCCTGCTTCTGCCACGCCCATGTCGCCTCCTGGTCCTCAAGTTGCGCCATCAGGTAAGTTTCTCCATCCCATCTCAAACTGAATCTTTCGCTAGGTTCCCTCTCTCTAAATCTCCCTCTGTCTATACGTCATCTCCGTTTGTTTGTTTCATTCATCTCTGTCCGTTCCATTTCTCACACTTTGACCAGCTCCTTCAGCTCTGTACGTTCATTCCCCTTTCCCACTCGAATTGTGCACCATTTCCTCACTCTGACCGTGAACGCTTCCCTCACTCTGACCGTGCACGCTTCCTTGACTATGACCGTACACTCTTCTCTCACTCTGACTATGCACCTTCTCTTCAATTCCGCGTTTCCTTCCCTCTGACCGTGCACCTTCTCTCTGTTTGTCCGTCTCCCTCCCTCTGACCGTGCACACTCTCTCTGTTTGTGCATTTCCCTCCCTCTGACCGTGCACATTCTCTCTGTTTGTGCGTTTAACTCATTCTGACAGTGCACCTTCTCTCTGTACGTTTCCCTCACTTTGATTGTGCACCTTCTCTCTGTGCGTTTCCCTCACTATGAAAGTGCACCCTCTCTCTATCCGTGCATTTCCCTCAATCCGACCGTGCACCTTCTCTTTGTGCGTTTCCCTCACTCTGACCATGCACCTTCTCGTTGTGCGTTTCCCTCACTCTAGCCATGCACCCTCTCTCTGTCCGTGCGTTTCCCTCACTCTGAGCGAGCAGCTTCTCTCTTTATGTATGTATTTCTTGTCCGATCTCTCTATTGTTGTGCCTAGCTACTCCCTCTGAAGTGCGTCCTAATGGTTCCACAACATCGCGTCATCACTGCATACATAACATACACGCACTACACCAGAAATCTCACTCTTGCTTCTTCTTAAAATATACTCTAACCCCATCCACAGGACTTACGCCAGCACAAAAAGCGGACCCCACCATATCTGTGCGGCAGTG